CCCCAAAACCCCAAAACCCCAAAACCCCAAAACCCCAAATTTTGAATCAAGCATTGAATTAATTGCGGTTTTTTAAATTATTAATAATTATTATGGAAGGCCCGGACAATGTCTCAGAGAAGTTTGACAATATCCTGTTCAACACTCAATCGCAGGATTATCTAGAGGATATTCTTAATAAAGTGCTATTGAAAGCACATAAATTTGATAAAGCCCTTCCTAAAATCGAAGAATTCTTGACATCAATAGGGCATAATATTCAAATGCTTGAAGAGTGACATTGCTTGATCATACGGCTAATAAAGTAAGTACCTTGCCTGACTCAGGCTCTCTAAAACCTATGGTGTATTCAAGTTGGACATATTTTTACAGCTCTAATACGAAATAGCACCCAGAACTTTCAGAATAAGACTAAAGAGGTTGCATTGAATATATTTGATTCTTTCCTCAGCCTGATTGGAGACAAGGAAATGGCATCATCTCCTAACTTACATCTCAAAAATACAGCTGCTAGGAGCAGGAATAGCTCAAGACTTGAAGACAGAAAAGGGAGCTACTTTAGGACACGAAGATTTGGAGATGATATTAGTAATTTAAATCTCACTTATCGTAAGAAGACAGGATTATCTGTATAGATAGAAAAGAAGACCATCAGTTCAAAACATATATAAAGATAGGAAAGCAGATATCAACCCCTGTGAAGACCCCAAGGTTTTCTAATGGGCTAGATGATCTCCCAAAGCAGGACTTCCTTGAGATTATATCAATTATTTGTGTCAGCTTGGCTATAAAGAAGGAAGAGACTGTGAAATTTACTTATTTTGAATTACAACATCTGATCGGGACTAATTATAGAAATTCACAATTGCTTGAAGCAGAGCAATTAGTTTGTGAGACCCTTGAATGGAACCTGAACCTTCCTACATGCTATGAATTAACACAAAGACTCTTGACTTTTGTCAATCATGAATATGACTTTTCAAGTTTTCTCTCAAAAACTCAAGAATTTGTGGATCTTTGCTTCATGGAACCAAAATTACTAAAATTTGGAGTTGTAGACATGGCTTTTGGCAGTATCATCTATTCACTCGAGTTTTATCAATGGTCTGACTTCTTAGAGCAATGGAAAGAAGCTATATTTGATTCATTTGGACACATTTTTATTAAATGAAAGTAATCAGACTTATGAACAAAAGAAAGAGAGAATGTTTAGAAAATCTATGTGTCTAAAAGACGAAGTTATGGACATTATAAACACCTTTAAAAGCGTTAAAGATGACATCACTAGTCTTAAGCAATCAATTTCACATCTCTCAAGTCTTGCTCAAGAGAGCAACAAGGTGTCTATAGTAAGAGGAGTCAGTATCCTAAACAATGAAGAATCTAAGCTCACATCAGATGAAGAGTTTATTTCCTTCTCTGTAAGTCAAGAGGTCTCTGAGCATGAGAGACAAATCAAGCAAAACATTTACAAACTAAAGAGAGATATCTCTAATAAAATCATGAATAATCAGCATTTAAAGAAACTTGTGAATAATTTCCCCAGAAATAGATTTGAACAATCAGAGAAAAAGGAGAAGATATCTGTAGTCCAGGGGGATATCTTGAATCTTGACAAATTTACAAAGAGTTTAGAAATAGATGACCTTGAGGATAAACAAATCCTTGACCACTTAGAGAGCAACATTAATTCGTTCCTTCCAAGTCATGAGAATACTAGTATTCTGACTGAGGGTAAATCATCGATTCATTTCCCGCAGCCACAGAGGTATAACCATAAAAATTTTGTTTCAAGAAATATAAACCTTCAGCCAGATGCTATAAAGAGGAGACTCAATTCAGATATCCAAAAGTGACAATTTTATGAAAATCTATATTGCCATATGAAACAAAACTCTACAGTAAATAGACCCTCTAGTGATCTTAACGATATTGAACTAACCGTAGTCGAAACAGCAAGGTTTGGCAAGAGTCAAGATTATGGTACAAAGCGAATAGAAAAAGACTTCAGCAAAGCTATTAGAAATATTAGACAGAGGCCTTCTAATTATAAACCCCACAGTAAATGATCCTCAAAAAGGAAATCAGTATTGAAGAAATCTAAAGTGAGGGAATCTATACCAAAAATGGCTCATATCAACCCAGCTATAAAGTTTCAGCCGCCATCGAAACATAAATTAATTAAGCTTCAGCCAAAGATGTTCCCAGTAAATGATGATAGACTACATACAACACGAGTGAGCCATGCGAGTCAAGGTAAGAGGCTTCCTCACAATGTAATAGATTGGAAGCCAAAGTTCAACTTAAAGCCAAGAATTTCCAAGAATGCTCATAAAAAGTCATTCTGTGGGTCCTTTCGCCAAGCCCAGATCCAAGAAAGTGATAGAGTTAAGAGGATAAGGAAGAGGAGGCTGCAGAGCTATCTCTCATAACTCCTTGAATGATTTGAACTAATTTTAAATTTAAACAAATATTCCTAGGAAATGGACTCAACCAGGGGAGGCCTATTTGGGGTTTTGGGGTTTTGGGGTTTTGGGGTTTTGGGG